AAAAGGAGCTTTCTACAGGGGCTGAATAATCTAGACTCTGGATGATGAACAGTCATTAAGACCTATAAAATCCTAGAAACATAGATTTATAGCTGAAGAGACTATAGAGGTTAATGAGTTCAACCCCTTCAATTTATAGATGAGGAAACTGAGAGATTGACTTGTCCAAGGTCACATATCAAGGTTAAATTATTTGTCCCAAGGTCACATATGATTAATCTGAGTTTGTGTTTATCGAACTATTACGGTTACTCACAGGGCTAGTCCTGGCAATCAATCATACAGGACTAAAAGTGATGCACAGATAGCCTGGATGGTCTTAACACTCAGTGCCACTAGGGAAATATTATGGAATTCAATCCACCACGCAGCCTAAGGAGGCGTCAATAAGGTCAGAAATGGAGTAGGTCAAAACTTCCATGCCAATTAGCAATGGGGGTCTGCCACCATACTTCCAGTTTAGGGGAAGATGGGGAGATCTAAAAGAAACAAAACAGAACAAAACAACAATAGAAATAGGAGCCCCTGGAACAAAACTTAGCAAGAGGGTAGGGGGAAAGAGAAGAGTACCAAATGATGACTAAGTACCAGGACAGAAGGCTTGACAAATTTATTATATTGATTACTATATTGATCCAAATATAAGCCATCTCCTGCTGACTATGAGGATGATCCTTTTGAAGTAAAAAAAAAATACAGTAAAATAACAAAATATAACAGTAATATAGCAAAAATAACACTGATTATAGGCCTTACTCAGATTTATACACTCTGGGTTTGGGAGAAAAGTATAGCCTATATAAATGCCAACATGATAAAAAGGAATTGCTTTACCCAGACTCGAAGCTAAAGATTGGCTAACCCCTCAACAAGCTATGTGGCCTTGGGCAAAGGCCCTCCTTGGCCTCCCTGGGCCTCTGCTTCCTCATCTGTGGAATGGGGAGCGTTGCAAGCTGGAACATGTAAACCAGAGAGATGTGTACACACACCCCTCAAACACATACACGTACACACACATACACACACACACACACACACACACACACACACACACACACACACATACACACACACACACACAGATACCAGACACAAAAACAAAGCCACCATGTAAGCATCCACATCTAGACTCCCCCAGAGAATAATACGGTGTTCTGTACTCTGGGAGATCTCTGGATTCCCGGAGTTTTAGTCCCAGTTCCTGCAGAGCCAGTCACCAGGCAAACAAGCAAGTGTCCCTGAACACATCTGGCAGGGAGAAAGGAGGGACAGCAGCCAGGGAAGGCTGGAGGGAGGAGCAGGAAGGGTTTGGGGGGGAGGTTCAGTCCTGAGAAGTACTACAGAGGACACCCCTTCTCATCTTGAGTCCCAGGCCAGAGCTATTGGTTTGCCCCTGACAATAAGAAGGAGAGCAGTGAGGGACAGGAACCTGAAAGAGAACCTGGCCCTAGAAGGGAAGCGGTAGGTGAAGGGAGTCAGAGAGAATTCGCCTCTGCTCAGCCCCCACGAGCTCCCAGGCTGCTGGAAGGCTGTCCCAGGCTCCAGCTGGGCCCCAAACCTGAAAAGCCAGTTTCATCCTTGAATCCTCTCCCTGCTCCAAGACAGTCTGAGCAAGGAAGGCTGAAGGGAGAGAAAGGGTTCCCAGCACATGGGTGTGGTGCTGCCTTCCCTCCACCTCCTGGTTCCCCCTTCCCCAATATAAGCCAGGTAGCTGTAAGATTCCCCTCTCAAAAATCAGACTCCCCTCCAATTCTCTCTCACACACACACAAAAGAAACTGCACCTGTATGAGACAAACCATTCCTAGAGACAAAGACATCCAGCTTAGGTAAGGAATAGGTGGGAGTTACACCTTCCTCCCACAAAACTCGACCAGAAAGATTCAAGGTTTCAGACTCCATCCATGAGCCCTGAAGGACCAAGCACCATACAGATTTTCTGTATTTGTCCAGCCTTTCCTTTGTGGTTCCAAATCAGGCATAACCATTCTTCTAGCACCCTCTCCCTCAATCACTCTCCCACCCCCTGAAACCATCTCTGAAAGAACCCCCTACTTCATCCCCCACCCCCAAAATCACTGTCCTTGATTCCCAAGTCCTTCCTAGTCTCAATCCCCTCCACAGGAGGAAGGCATTGGTCAGAGAAACAGCTCTTGAACTCCTCTGGACAATGACCACAGGCCTCTGGTACAACAGGGGATGGGATGTGCTAAGAGTCCCAGAACATAGACACCCAGCTCCTCTGTAACTAAATCACTATGTGACCCAAGTAAGTCACTTCAACTCTCTCTGGCCTCACTTCCCTTATCTGTAAGATAGGGGTAAGGATCCTTCCAACTCTAAACCAGTCCTAGGGTTCCTTTTTTTTTCTTTTCTTTAAACATTTTGATAACTACTTCAATATAATTGGTTTCCTTTATAATCCTATATATTTTATACATTTAAAAACGTCATGCTCAGAAAAGGATCCCTAGGCTTCACCAAACTGCCAAAGCAGTCTATGACACAAAAAGTTTAAGAACTCTAGCACAATCCCATTATTTTACAGAGTAGGAAAAGAAGGCCCAGAGACATGAGATCCCTTGACCAAAGTCACACAGGTATAAATGGCAAAGGCAGTATTTGAACTTGGGACCTCTGACTCAAAATACAAGATTCTTTCCACTGGGCCACACCGTCTTGAGGCCCCTCCCATCTTTCATGTTCTAATGCCCCCTTTGAGTTCTGACATTCCACGATCCCCACCCAAGGCCTAAACAGAGAGAAATGGAAGGGGAAGAGGACCCACTATGGTGTGGCCAGAGAATTGAGGACATCCCAGGCCACAAGGGGGTGCCCATGGCAGGGTAGAAAGCTTGCCTCTAGAGGCACTGGTATGAATCAGGTATGGGTCAGTGTTGATCTGTATTTTGTGTGTGTGTGTGTGTGTTTACATGTTTATATTTACTCTAAGAATGACTGGCTGCAAACAAGGGTATTGTGCGTAGGAAGGACAAGGAAGGTGGCCAGTATGAATTGAGAGAGGATTAGCACGTGGAGAGGTAGGAGCATCTGTGTGTCCCCAAACTAGTTATTCCTGTGAAAGGGGGAGGGGGGGAGAGGAAGGGTCTGTTCTTAATCCCAGCTTCCTCCTGAGTCAGTGCATGATCCTGAGCAATGTTTTCCTCTTGGTCAAAATTTCAATGAGAAGAATATGGCTTGCTGTGTGTAGGGATGTGAAGAAGACTGTTACATAGGGTAAAAAGGCCAAGGAAGGAAAGAATAGGATAAACATGAATCCTGAAGCCCAATTCCAACTGCTTTGGTTTTTGAAGAGAGCCCAGGTGAGAATAATCCATAATTTATTGGAGGTGAGGGAAAGTAGTCCAAGCTCTAGGCTTCAGTTGGTCCTCTTTATCCTGTGTTCTAAGTCCCTTTTTACTGTGCAGACAGACGTGTCCTGCTCTAGGTAACTAACAGAAAAGTGACAAGGATGGAAAAGGGAAGGAGGTTAGCTAGCTGATCTATTTCAACCCCACCAGCATACCACCATACACAGAAGCAAGTTTTCCATCTCTCTCCCCACTGTCCACCCAGGGGCTCCTAGCTGGTCATTCAGCTGTTCCGGGGGACGGCTAGAGCTGGAGTCTCCACGTCCGGCCTGTTAGTGACTCCAACCCCACTGCCTGGCCCAGAGCCAGCTCAGGGGGATGTGCTAATCCTGCCTAGGGCTATTTTTACAAAACTCCCGTCCCCAGGAGGAATTCAGAGGAAGAAGAAACTTGCTTCTCAGGACCCCTGGCTCCAGTCTCTTCAGCTGCCCCTTCCCCAATGGCCAGCCACTGAAACTTGCTTCTCAGGACCCTTGGCTCCAAGTCTCCCAAGCTGCTCCCTCTCCAATGACCAGCCATTCCAAGTCTCTTGGCATCAGCCATCACATAGGCCACATTCTCTGCTGCAGCCATCCCCCCCCCCCCCCCCATCTCTGCTCCACTCTTCATCCTTAGGGCAAGCCATACTTAACTCCTGCAACACTCCTCCCCACCCCGACCAGGGCCCAGCGTCCCAAGGCCAAATGGTTAAGCGGCCTTAAACTTGGACTTATCTTCTAAGCATTTCTTCTTTTACTGGCTCCTAAAGATTCAGAAGAAAACTAAACTTCAACTCTTAGCCAAATGATTTTCCCAGAGTTGGGGTGTGTGTCTCTGTATGTGTTTAAACAAAAAGTCTACTCGGTTGAGTTAGCCATTTAGCTCGGGAGGGGCAGAAGGAGGCTGGCCTGGGGACACCCCCTCCACTGTCCCTCTTACCCCGACTTTCACCTTCGCTGCAGACGTTGCAGGATTTTCCAGTATGAGTCTCCACTATGTGTGCTCACACCCTGTCCTGCCCGTAGAACCCTCTCGACACCCCCAAATCCCTTATCTATGGAGAGTGTCAGATTCTTGCTCTTACTCTTCCACTCCATGACTATCCAGTCCAGAAACAGTCTGAAAGTGTCACTCCCAAAGTCACCCACCCACCCAACTGGACCCACGTGCGAGCTAAGGTGGAGGGCTGGGGGAGGACAGTGGCAGAGGTGAGGGGTGCTGCAGGTGGCAGAAACCTGGGCGAAGCAAGGCGCCTCTCCCTCCATCCTCCAAGAGGTGGGGGCTGCCCCGCTCCCCAAGAAGCACTGACAGCCAAGAGCCCCAAAGGGCTCCCAGATGGGTCCCCGCCAGCCCATCTCTCACTCTGCTACGAGGATGGGACAGCAGCAGCCCCCGGGACCGCCGATTGCGGACGAGCGACCCACCCGAGAAGGAGGAGGAGAGCGGGGAGGAGTCGGGAAGAGAAGGGTAAACTAACTCCAGGAAAACCGGCTGGTTCTGCTCCGGCCGAGCCCAGGGACGGCAACAGCGCTCTCGGCCCGCCCCATACCAGGCTCCGGTCCGGAGCTTCCCAGGCTGGCCCGCGTCTCCCCGAGCCAGCGCGTCCCTTCTCCTTCCCTCCCTCGGGTCGCTGGCTCCCTCATCCACTCACCAGCCCGCAGCCACCGCGGCCGCCGCCGCCTCCAGCAGTCCGGTCCCGGGGGCGGGCAGAGCAGAGCGGACAGTGCGCAAGGGGGCCGCCTGGACTGGCGGTAGCTCGGGCCCCGCACTCGGGCCGGCAGGCAGGGCAGGGGGCCGGAGCCGGCGCGGGGCTGCGGCAGGGGAAGGTGTGTCCCGCTCCAAGTTTGCCAGAGTCCCGGCGCCTGCCTGCTTCCCTCTCTCCGCCTCTCCGCTCCACTCCGCCAAATCCCCACTTCCCCGCCTCTCCTCCCGTCTGCTCTCCTCTCCGGCCGCCCGCCCGCCCGGCCGAGAATGCCATGGAGAGAGGGGCACGTAAATGAGAGGAGGGATCATGGGACAGAGGGAGGGAGCAAGGCGGGAGGGGGCCCGAGCGGGGGCCGGGGGCCGGGCTGCGCGCCCGCCCGCTAGGAGAGCGCGCAGCGCGCGGCCATATGGGCTCAGTCATTCACAGCGCGCTCTGAGTCAGGGCTCTGGAATGCACGCGGGGCGAGCTCATCTGCCACCCGGAGCCGAGCGGAAGCTGTTCCCTCCCACCGGCTGCAACCCAGACCAGCTCCGGGCCAGGCTTCCCAGCGCCCCGACCCCGGGCCTCCACCTCGGGCTTAGTCCGCTCCGTCCCCACCCCGCATAGACAGACCCCAGCAAACTAACCGCGCAACTCTGCAGAAAAAACCCCAAGTCCGTGTCCCACCCGCGGAGGGAGGTGACACCGCCCCCCCAAAAATAGGTCTGATCCTAGAATCTCACAGTTGGAGGCGGGACATAGAAGTGGTCCTGTCCAACCTCCCGGCCGAACTTGTGGGCCTGCCTTTGGGCTCTCACCACATTCCATCCACTACTCCGGGTCTTGACCTCTTTTTCTTCCTCCAGCTGCCCCCGGGAGTGGGCCTCTCTGGGAAGTGACTGACGTTGCTTAGGTACCAAAGGACCTGGCTACAGAATATCGGAATTAAGTCAGGAAGACCGGGTTCAAAACCCTGCCTCTGACCCCACACTTACATGATGTCATTGGTCCTCTTTGAGAATGAAGAACAACTACTAGCAGTGTGATTATGGGCAAATCACTTAACTTCTCTGATTCTCGGCTTGCTCATCTGTAAGATGGGGATGAGGACCTGTAGTAACTCACTGGTTGGTGTGAGGTTCAAATGAGATAATGGTAAGTAGAACATTTGAATTGCCAGTTATTATTCCCTGGGATGCCAGTTGTGACTGGATGGGGGGGGGGGGGGGCAGTGCAGACAGAGGCTGGCAATTTAGCCAATTCATTAGTTTAAGGTCCGGTTGCTTACTAACTGAGAATCTCAAGACCAGCTTCAATTCCAATGTAGGCTATTTAGCTTGACTCAAATGAAGTCTCCATATATCCCAGGCCCCAGACTATCTTCTGACCCAGACTCCAGACTGAGCCCTAATCCCGACTCCAAACTCAACCTCTAATCCAAGTCCCAGACTTACTCTTAACCCTGGTCAGCATCACCTATGACCCTTCATTACCCGGAGATGAGGGTGAAAAGGTCTCCACTAATGGTGGTGACATATTGGTCAGGGTAAGAGAAGCATGAGCTAGTAGCATGTCAAAGGAAACTCCTGACCATTGACCATTTGGTGGACATGCATTTATGTGGTGTGTTAAGGTTTATAACATTTTCCTTTTACCAACCTTCCCTGTCTAAGGCCTCCCCCTCCTCAGGAGTCTGCCCTACAGAGGGGGTCCCAAGTTGGAGTTTTGGAGCCCAAGCCTGCAATCCCTTTACCAAATCTGTGACCTCTGAAGACCAAGCACTCAATCAGTTTAACCACCCAAGTGCACAGGTATCTGGCTGAACTGGTTGGATTCAGGAAAGCTAAAACTCCATACTCAACAGGGAACTCTAGGCTCAGACACTAGTATGGAAAGCACTGAGAGGAGATCTACAAAAGAGGAAGGTCACTTTGGCCAGCTCTAGTCCCTATCTGCCAGCCCTTGGCAGGCCTCTTCTGGGTGACTTCCATCAGTCCTTCCGGGATGAAGTGGGCAAGCATAGAGCTACAGAGGGGAAGGTTCCCTTGAACTCTTTTAACCAGAGCCACATGGGTGATTTTGGAAGGGAGCACCCTCTTTTCTCAACTCCCCTCATGCCTCTCTTCTCAACTCCCTTGGGCCATCTATTGTTCCCTGCCAGTGCCAGGAGCAGCCTGTCCCAGACACAGGTCTCCAGACCAGAAGGCAGACCTCACTTTATTCAGAGATTTGTTCTGAACAATTATGTAGAAAATAGAATCATGTTTTATATGCACCAGAGGGATAATGCACAGGATAATGGAAAGCACCTGAAATTAAAGTCAAAAGTCCTGAGTCGGAGTCCTAACTGCAATAGTGTACTTTTTAACTAAGATCTTGGGCAATTATGAACTTTAGTTTCCTACTCTGTAAAATATCTTGGACTCCCAGCTGAAGAGGAAAGAGTTTTTAGTTAAGCTAGACTGAATATAAATTGAGGTATTGTTATACAAATGAACCAATCAGGAATCCTACCTTAAAGTGAATTAACCTCTTAATTTACCTATGAGAATATGGATTTTCTTCTATAGGGTTGGCTTAAAGTGAAGTATACACCCTGGGCTGGGACTGAGCATCTGGCACTTGAAACTGACCAGAAAGACTGTCTGTCCAAGGCCACAGAGATATATATCCACTCATGAGGGGCAGTATCTCTACAAACCACAGAGACATCTCTAGGCACTTCAGAGACAACACTTTCACAAACCAGGGACTATCTCATGGCACCACAGAGACAGTATGTCTATGCATTATAAAAATATTGTTATGTAAATAAGTCAGAGAAATGAATGAGTCCCTGGAATTCAGGCACAAGATCTCTCACTAACTTCTTAATACAGTTATTTGAGGATAGGCCAAAGTTCCAAATTACCTCCAGTAAACTCCTCCGGAATGTTAGTCTGGTGTAGAGACAGAGGTGCAGACAGCCATCTGGTCCTCTTGCTAGGACAAGCGCTGGTCCTTACTAAAGCTACTAGCTTAATCAACCATGTCTGTAGGTCTGCAGAAGCATAGCCTTTTATTAATGCTCCACATCCCCAGCTCCCCTGAAGAACCTTGGTCTTGAGAGCTGGGGTGTTACTGCCCCCACCTCAGAAAAAGAACTTCATTCATTTCTTCACTTGAGGGTTTCTTCATCTCCTGGTTCTACCTTAATGACCGTGGGGGAAAGTGATTTGAGCAAGACTGGGTGTGGGGCCTGGGAAGTCACCAGGCCTGTCAGGAGAAAATTAGCTCATCTCTACCCCACCCAGCCTGGCTGGGCCTAATTCACATTAAAGTGCCATTCAGTAGTGGTGACCACCGAAGCTCTGAGCCCCCCGGACCAAGGAATAGAGGGTAGGCTTTTGTTGGTTTTAGTTTTTTGGAAGGAGTGGGGAGTCCTTGTCATCAAAGTTTTCCCTCCATCCTAGAATCACAGAACATAGACAGGGCTGGCAGGGACATTAAAATGGAGCATGTCAGCCAGCATTAGAAGGAAACGTAGTGGAATAATGATAGGTATAACTAATATAGCATGTTGTGGTTTATAAAATGTTTTACATACTTTTTTATGGAAGAAGGTACTACATTTGGAGTGTGGGTTTGAATCTTTTCTTTTTCGTTACCACTTTTTTGATCCAAGGCAAATCCCTTAACCTTTCTGAGACTCTGTTTCCTTATCTATAAAATGAAGTTAGACTACATGATCTCTAAGGTCCCCTTTCTAGTTCTAAGGCTTATGATCTTATTTGATCCTGGGAGGTAGCTAGTGAAAGCATCATTATCTCCATTTTAAGGATGAAATAGGATGTCGAGGTGGTGCTGTGAGTGGATAGAGTCAGAGCTTGCAGTCTGGCCTTAGATATTTACTAGTAGTGTGACCCTGGGCAAGCCAGTTAACCCTGTTTGCCTCAGTTTCCTCATCTGTAAAATGAGCTGCAGAAGGAAATGGCAAAACACTCCAGTATCTTTGCCAAGAAAACCCCAAATAGGATCACAAAGATTGGACCAACTGAAATCACTCAACAAAAAGTTTGAAATGGAAATAATAAAACCTCTAAGAATATAGAATGTTGGAGCTATAAGGCAGAGATGTCAAACTCCTACAAGAGTGAAGCGCAAATCAGATGAAAATGTAATTGGGAAATATTTTGTAAAAATAAATAAAAATATAATATAACATAGATAATACAAATTTGTAATTTTCCAAATCAATATGTGGCCTGCAGGGATCTGCTTCTGAGACTGACACAGCTGCAGTAAGGGACCTTAGAACATAGTAAGTCAGAGATGGAAGGAGCCTTAGAACATGGAAACTTGGAACACACAACACACAAATGATTTCCTCAAGTTCACGCTGATGGAGTGATGGGATCCAGACCCCTAAAAGGAAAAGACCATGTCTTTGAAAGCAACCCAGTACCTGAATTTTCTCATACATTTCAGTAGCCCAGATCACTGGCATGTTGCCCAAGGAATCTGGCCTACCCCAGCCCACCAAGATCACTTAATTAGCTTAATTGACAGTGCTTTCACAGCTACTCTTGGACCACCCCAGACTACCTGCATATACTGACCCACCCAGACCACTTAATTCCTTTCCTGTCACACCTGGCCCACCCCAGGCTATTTACCACTCCTTTAATTCCCATCTAGATCTTTTCCCTGTTCCTTTTTTGTATATAAGTATCAGTCTTACTGCTATGAAGGCACAGATTCACTGGGAATCTTGCCCACTCCTACTGGCATTACAATAAACCTCAATACTTTGACTGAAAGAAAGCTTGAATGTTTGAATTCTTTCAGGGCAGACTTGCCCTGTCATTTCAGGGTTCCCAGCAACCTCAAACCACATCAACACGAGTTAGTGATAAAGCTGGGACTAGAGCCCAGTTCTCTTGACTTCCAATTCAGTCCTCTTAATCTAGTGTATCCCACCATGTCTCTGTGTCCCCTCAGCCCCA